CTCACACTTATGACCTGCTTGGGGGATGCTTCCCACAGCATGTTTATGATCCTGGTTTGTGTGCATGACTCTCTGCCTGGTATTTTTATTTCTCTCCAACAGCAGAAGGACTGCTGGGAATAATCTGATACACATGAAGAGAAAATGAAGAGTTACTAATAAGATTAAATTAAACTAAAGCACATTTTAAACAGTATGTAAAACACAGGACTAAGCACTGTTTGAGATGAGCAGACACAAGGCAACGACCTCATGGAATTTACAATCTGCTGGGGAGAGGAAGTGAGGGATAAGACTACACACAGATATCCAGGAGTTTATGCCAAATATGGGAAGTTCCGTGAGAAAGGAAGAAATGAAGCCCTGTGTAGGGCTGGAAGGCAAAAGCCCTCCCGTTTCCCTGGGGACCCAGGTTTAAGAGAAATGGTGGGAACTGAGACTGGAGAATGGGAAGTTTTACTCAAGGCTCAGTCACTGATGCACGGACAAGGTCTTGGGGTTCACCCTCCCAGGACAGGTTACATAATTTACAGGGCTCAGTTCAAAAATTAAAGGCAGGGCTCTTAGTTCAAAACTGAAACATTTCAAGACGGTGAGAGCAGAGCTTGTAATCAAGTGTGAGGCCCTCCTCAGCACAGGCTGCATGCCCATGGGGCTGGCCCTGCCCAAAGGAACCTCCCTGGGCCTCTCCTTCCTTATCACCTTTGGAAAGTAGGGAGCAAGTCTCTCTGTCTCACCACCCTGTAGCCAGCACCTAGCTCAGGGTCTGCTGCCCAGATGAATTCATGAATGACTGGAGATAGGATGAATGGACACGATTACACCTGACAATTTCTTGGGTTGCTTTCATTGTTAAGACATTGAAAGACTGGCGGGGTACGGGGGCTCATGCCTGTAATTCCAACACTTGGGGAGGCTTCGGAGGGCAGATCGCTTGAGTCCAGGAGTTCGAGACCAGCCTGGTAAAATGGTGAAACTCTGTCTCTACCAAAAATACAGAAAATTACCTGGCCACAGAGGCGCGTGCCTGTAGTCCTAGCTACTTGGGAGGGTAAGGCAGGAGGATCCCTTGAGCCCAGAGGGTCGAGGCTGCAGTGAGCCAAGATTGCGCCATTGCACTCCAGACTGGGTGACAGGAGTGAGTGAAACCCTGTCTCAAAAACAAAAACACAACCCACTGAAAGACCATGACTCTGAACATTTCTTGGAGGAGACATCTGAGATGAGTCCTGAAAGACAGTAGGATTTTTCTTTCTGTTTTCCTCACTTTCCTTCCCTCTTGACTTTGCGCTATTTTTCCATTTCTTTCATAAATCCTAATGGCAACGTTATGCCTGACACTGAGACATGCAACAGTCACACAGACTGGAAACAGCAGAGAGGTTCAATATTTGAGGGATGACTCAAAGGCTTAAGCCTCCCTTAAGATTCCTTGAGATGGTATAGATGAAATCTTCATTGATAAAGTCTTGTTTTTGGTCTTCAAATTATTTTGTTTTATTTTCGTTGGACAAGTTGGTAGATGTTTATGAAGAAAAAAATCAGAAGACTATAGATTAGCAAAAATAATTACTTGCAATCCCATAAGAATAGTTCTAATGGGACTGTAGTATAAAACTAGTTTTCAACTTTTTTTTTTTTAAGATGGAGATTCATTCTGTCACCCAGGCTGGAGTGCAGTGGCACCATCTTAGCTCACTGCAACCTCTGCCTCCTAGGCTCAAGTGATTCTCTTGCTTCAACCTCCCAAGTAGCTAGGATCACAGGTGCGCACCATCACACCTGGCTAATTTTGGATTTTTTACTATAGATGGAGTTTCACCATGTTTCCCAGGCTGGTCTTGAACTCCTGAGCTCAGGTGATCCACCCCTGCCCACCTTGGCCTCCCAAAGTGCTGGGATTATAGGCATAAGCCACTGAGCCCAGCTATTGTAAGCATCTTTATGTGTCAATAAACCTCTTCATTTTTGTAGTCATTAATATATGATATTCTGTCATATGGTTGTACTGTCATTAACAAATGCACTCAAATTGGATATTTGGATTGTTTTGATTTTTTTTTTGGCTATTCTAAAATGGTGTTGCCCTGAATTTCCTGGGTAAGTGCCTGGTCTCTCTACCCTTTGTTTTCCACCTGTGTGTAACCTCAGGATAACGATACTACTCCCACCTGGGGTTGTATGGTGGCTGTGAGTTAACGCATGTAAAGCTCTTAGCACAAGTACAGTACAGTGCGTAGTAGCCTAGACGTGCTCAATAAATATTAGCTGTTTTATTACTTTATAGCCCAGAGAAAGCTGTCTTAACACAGATTGTAGAGTAAATAAATAGGAGAGCCTGGGAAGTGTTCTTTGCAAACCTGAAGGATGAGGTACAGGTAGAAGGCGTAGGCTGGGGGCTCCCTAGGTTGAGTGGTTCCCCAGTGTTTTCTTATTTATAGAATAAGCTTCCAGATGGCTAGGAGTCTTCTATTGGTTTTTTTTTTTTGAGATGGATTTTCGCTGATGTTACCCAGACTGGAGTGCAATGGCATGATCTCGGCTCACCGAAACCTCTGCCTTCTGGGTTCAAGCAATTCTCCTGCCTCAGCCTCCTGAGTAGCTGGGATTACAGGCACATGCCACCATGCCCAGCTAATTTTTGTATTTTCGGTAGAAACGGGGTTTCACCTTGTTGACCAGGATGGTCTCGATCTCTTGACCTCGTGATCCACCCACCTCGGCCTCTCAAAGTGCTGGCATTATAGGCGTGAGCCACCGCGCCCGGTCTATTGTTTTTTAATACACAGTAGAGGATACCAGGTGGTCACCAAAGACGTGTCACTGTTCCCTGACATCTAAGAACCTTTGCTGATGAGTTTCCAATCAGCCTGTGCAGTCATCAAGGCCAGTCTTTACCCTGCCACCCACAGCCTGTTCACTGAGAATGTGCTCTGGCTGAAGATTTTTGCAAGGGCAGCTGACAAACATCAGTTGTGCTCAGGCCAAGGGGCGACTGTCTTATCTTCAGGGATGTGGGAACACAGTCATGGAGGGAGCAAGTTCCAGACCAGTACTTGCTGGCTCTGCGACCTTGGGCCAGCAGTTTCCTCACTCTGATCCCTGCCTCTGTTTCCTTTTCTGTAACTCTGAGGGGGACTAGAGGAGCTCAGGAGAATGGTATAGCACAGTGGCTAGCTCTGAACCCTATCCAACACGGTGCCTTCCCTCCACTTGCAATGACCCTGTTGCATTGTATTCACTCTACTTTTCACATTGCAGAGGATCTTACTTACTTGTTTGCCATTAAAATGGAAGCTTCCTGAAGGAAGAGGCCTTGCCTGTCTTGTTCTCTGCAGTTAACACCAGGGTCCGGCACTGCCACAGAGCCTCTAAAAATATGTGTGTTGCATGAGTGAAACCTCAGAGCCTGGGTTCAAATCCTGATTGCCCCACTTGCTGTATGACCTTGGACAAGCCACTTAAACTACATCTCAGTTTTCTCGCTTAAAAAATAGTAATTATTTTCAGTTTTCCCACTTGAAAAATATGGATTAGTAATCGTTCCTCTCTTACCAGGCTGAGAGGATCAAATGAGGAAATATCCAGGAAGCATTAAGCACATTGGCTGGTACAGAGCACACTGATGATAACAGCAAACGTTTATTGTAGCACGACAGCCAGGCACTGATCTAAACGCATCACGTATGTTAACTATGTTAATCTTCACTAGATTTTACGAAATCGGTACTATTATGCCATTTTACTGATGGGTAAACTGAGGTCCAGGGGTTAAGTAACTTATCGCTGTCATTTTACATTTAAGGGTTCTTCCAAGCTCTCCGTGGGCGACCCCTCTTGAAGGACCAGAAGGTGCGTCAGGCCAGCGTCCGGCCCAGTCCGCGGCCTGGCCAGGACGGAAAGTGGTACTTGGCCCGCGCGCGCGTTACCGGCGGGCTCACAAAGCCGGGAGACTCGGGCCGGGCGCCGGACGCTTCCTTGCCTCCCATCCACGCACACGCCCCTTCCTGTCACGGCTGGGCCCGGCACCGCCCCCTGGCACCGCCCGCTGGCCGGGAGCTGCCAGAGTGGACGGTTCCAGAGGCATGCTAATGAGGGGGCGGGCGCCGCAGCCCATTGGCGGTCCGCGGAGTGTCGGTGAAGTCAGCTCCGAGTCCCAGAAAAACAGAGCGGGGCCAGCTTGCAGCGTGTAGTGCGAGAGGGGCGGACGCGCGCAGCCCGCCAGCCCGGCGACCAGCAAGGTAAGCCAGCGCCCGCCCGTCCGCGCTCGCCCGCTCGGCGGCGGCAACGCCGGGGGTGTGCGCGGCCAGGCCCCCGCGGGCGGCGCCTTTGTTCCGCGCCCGGAGGAGGCGCATTTAAAGGGCCAGCTGTTGGAGGGACCTGGGGGACCCCCCTCCCCCAGAGCATCCCCCGATGGGCACGGGGAAAGCGGTGGTCGCCCGCGTCCGAACCGTCCATCCTGCCTGCTCGGCGGATCCCCAGTCTTTCAAGGAGAGTTCCCCAGGGTGCGGAGGATATGAGGGCTTCCAGGGTTGGGTGTTTTTTTTTTCTTATTTTGGTGGGTGGAGGGTAGTGCGATCATGGCCTCTGCTAGGAGAGAATGTCCTCCCGTCTCAGGGTGGCTGCAATGTGGGTGGGTGGAAGAGACATCAAACCCCGGATGGGTTTGTGCTGTAAAGTGAAACTACCGAGGAGGGGCACCTCTGCAGCAGCCAGAGGAAGGCGGAGGGAGCGAGCGGCAGGATGGAGGCATCTCAGGTGTGTTCATTCATCAGCATCCCTGGGAGAGGGTGGCGGGAGGGGCGCGAGGACGCCTTGGCTGGCCGGACCCGCCTGAATGAACCGGGACGAGTGTGCGCCGGGGACACCGCGCCTGCCCGTGCCGCCCGTGCCCCTTCCTCTCCCCGAGTGGCTGACAGCATCTTGCTAGGCAGCTCGTCACCGACATGGACAGCAAGCAACTCCTTTCTCCTAATTCCCCGGGCATCCCCCGCTCTCACCTCGCTGCTTTTCGACGTGGCTTCCTAGATACGCGGTAGCGCCATTCAAGATAGAGGGAAAGAGGCTTGAAGTCATTATGTTTCCTTCATGGGGGGGAATGTGCGGTCGAATTCTGCATCCCCATGCCTCCGCTGTTGTAAGATGGCTTTGAAATTCACCAGTGCATGCTTTCTCCAGGCAGACAAGAATTTATTACGCTATTACATTGCTACATAAAAGCAGAAGGGATCCCACTGAGCGTGGCTCGTTTTATTCAGTCCCCGGGTTTTCCCAGCAGGTTCTGGGCGAGCCTTTGGATTTTTGTTTTAAATACTGAGCGCTGGATGCCCCTGTTGTCACAGGGCCGACCTGCTGAAATTGCTGGAATTGGTTTCACCGTCAATAGGAGAGAGGTTCATCTAGAGACATCATGGAACCTATCTGGCATGTCAGGCCTCTGACTCCATCTCTCCCCTCAACAGCCCCCCGCCCCCCCGCGCCCTTTTTCCTCTCTTAAGGGGAGGCTGTGGACGGATTGGCTGTCTTCACTCTCCTTGTGTTTTGAGCTCCTCTGCTTAGATTCAATTCTGTGTTTTTGGTTGGAAAGGTAGCTTGGTGTGATCGAAGAGAGGAGGGATGGATTAAAAATGGGGTGGGCAGCAGCGGGGTCAGCAGCATCAATGATAGAAAACATGATGGACATATCTTCAGCTTTCAGACACAGATAAGGTAGATGGCTGTCTTCTGAGTGAGGGGCATATTTTTGGGGCTGTGATGGGGAGGAGTGGAGGAAGAGGATGCCTCCAGCAGTTCTCTGCCCTGCCCTCTAGATGCTGCTTTAAATAGCCCCTCGCCAACCAAGCTCTGATGTCTTCTTGGCCTGAGGGGAAAAGAGGGAAGGATTGGTCTGTTGGTACCTTTGCCCTAGGCACCATTGGAGCAGATTGTTAGGAAAGGGTTAGTTCTCAAGGGGTTTCAGAGCACGTTTCTCAGCTGGAGGGCCCTGAGACCACTCCTTTGGCGACTTCCCTGCAGAGAAATAGCAACTGAAATGAAGTCCTGTCTACCCTCTGGGGTAAAGAGATGGGAGGGTATTATCTTGTGGACGACACCCATTCCTACCTGCTTTCATTTGTTGTAGCTGGAGAGTTTCTGTAAACTTTTCAGAAGGGATCGGGCATATTGGGGAGTGGGTAGGAGTTATGGGAAAGGATGAGCAAATGCTTCTTCCTGGCAGAACAAAGCACTGTTCAGCTGTTCCCCTCTTTCCCCTTCTCTAAAATAGAGTTCAATACAGATAGCAGAGTCTAGGGTTTTCTTTGCAAAGAATGAAAGGGCAGGGCCCAGGAAAGAAAGCTTTTATTGTGCAGCATTGATAATCTTCAGATCATCCAGACTTATCTCCAGACCCCTCCCTGGATGTGGAGATAGATTTGCTGTAGAGGGCACTCCATGGTAGGATTTGACCTGTCTGTAGGAGAAAGGCAGGGATGGTTTCCAAAAGCTTTGGTGGAAGAGAGCTCTGGACCAGAGGCAGGTCAGCTGGCTTTGGTCCTGGCCACTAATCTTTGGGCTTTGGGCTAGTGGCTTCTGCTCTCTGGGCCTGTATCCTTGCTGATGAAGTGGAGGATGTTAGAGCAGAGGGTCTTCCAGGGTTCCTGACAACTCTACTGTTCTTAGAGTCACAGTTTGTGATGGCATTTTTAGTTTCTTGTTTGCTAAACTGATATTAAATTCCAAGTATTGCACAATGGCATGAAAGAAGCATTCTAGAACTCAGGCTTCTGTTGGACTCACATCTACCTTTCCCTTGATTGTGTGATTTTTGAGGTTTAACTGTACATAAATAATTCAGAGCTAGAATGGCCCAGAGTGAGAGACACAGACCCCAGAGTGAGTGGTTGTCTGTGGGTGATGAGGGTGAGATGATAGATTGCTGAGGAAAGGGAGTTTCTGTAATTTGTTCTCTTTCCCTGTGGATGTTTAACTTGCTGGGTTATTTATGGTTATACAGGTGAACATTTACCTATCTAGAAGATGAGAGTTGTAAAAGACCTCTGTGATTGCCATGTTCCACCCCCCAACTCACTAAGGAATTTGAAGGGGTGGGAGGTTTGGCCATTGTTTCAAGGTCACACAGCTGGCAAGGCGTGGAGCTGGGGTGGGAACTCAGGTGGATAGATGTAGATCTTGGTGGGAACTCAGGTGGATAGATTGTATGTAGATCTTGTTTTCTAGATGTATCTGGGTTGTTTATTTTTATTTTTGGTGGTGGTGGTTATTTTGAGACAGGGTCTCACTCTGTCACCCAGGCTGGAGTGCAATGGCATAATCATTGCTCACTGTGGCCTCAACCTCTTGTGCCCAGGCAGTCCTCCTACCTTAGCTTCTCAAGGTAGGAGGACTGCCTGGGCACAGGAGGTCGAGGGACCATAGGCACACACTACCACACCCAGCTAATTTTTGTACTTTTTGTACAAGGTTTTGCCATGTTGCCCAGGCTGGTCTCAAACTCCAGGACTCAAGCGATCTGCCTGCATCGGCCTTCCAGCATGCTGGAGTTCTAGGCTTGAGCCATTGTGCCTGGCCTATATGTATCTGTTAAGGCCCCTCTTCCTCTGAGAGAATTGATTCTAAGATGGGATAGGGAAACATGAGGAGGAAATAGGAGCACAGGAAGAGAGAGGCTGGAGAAACAGACAAGAGAAAATAGTAGGCTGGGGACAGGTTATGTGGGGAAGGGACAAACACAGAAACCAAGCTTGGAGGAGAAAAGGATGGTGCTTGAAAGGGGGAGGCTCTATTGTCTCTGAAACAGCTGAGCTGTTCTCCAGGCTTTGGGTGAAGTGAGGAGAGGTTTGGTAGACTAGGGTTGGGGTAGGTTGGGGGGTGTGGACTGAGACTCACTTGGAATCTCCTTGGGATCGCTCCTGTTGACCCTCAGATTGCAGTGTGGTGGAGGATGCTTAGTTTCAGGGCCAACTGAGGCCTTTAGATCCATGGGAGCATGCAGAACTTGGACATGTGGGAAGTCAGGTGTGTGAGTGGTGATGCTGGCTGATGCTGAGGTGGGACTCAGTTCTGCTGAAGTCCAGGTTTTTTTGTAAATGCAAAGCTCAAAACACTTTTCCATGGATTTCTTATCAGTGCAAGCAACATTTTCTTCTCTGAATGTTTTATGAGATAGTGTTTCATGTACTGCCTTTTCAGAGGAGACACTTGGAGATGAATGATTTACTAAATTGTGGCTCATTTGGGGGAGATTCTGGCTTGTGACCTAAGCTGAGCTTCAGAATGTTTCAATGAGCAATTAAAGAGCTGTGAACAGAGCATTAACCATTCAAAGGCAAGGGTAAAGGGTGATAATAGTTCAAGGTCTGGAGCTACAGCCAACAGCTGGCCATGAACAATGTAAAACTTTGGCTAACTCTTCAAGCCCTAGGAAGTGTCTCTGTGGGTCCTTTGGTGGCTCCCCCTTTTTGTGTGTGATTATGCATGTGGGCCTGTGCCTGAATCTTGCTGTCTCTCATTCCTCTTTTCCTACGTCTCCCTCCTCCATCCGTTTCTTTTTCTTACCTCTTTCTCCTTGCTCTCCTCCCTCATTCTTTCTTTATTGTCAACAATATATCTTTGTAGTTTGTTTTAATCTATTGTCATTAACATTTCATATTCTCTGTTCTTCATTTAAAATCAGTTGAGAGCCAGGCATGGTGGCTCACGCCTATAATCCCAGCACTTTGGGAGGCTGAGGTGGGCAGATCACCTGAGGTCAGGAGTTCAAGACCAGCCTGGCCAACATGGTGAAACACTGTCTCTACTAAAAATACAAAAATTAGCTGGGTGTGGTGGTGGGTGCCTGTAATCCCAGCTACTTGGGAGGCTAAGGCAGGGAGAATTGCTTGAACCTGGGAGTTGGAGGTTGCAGTGAGCCGAGATTGCACACTATACCACAGCCCACTCCAGCCCAGGTGACGGAGCGAGACTCTGTCTAAATAAATAAATAAAATCAGTTGAGTTCACTCTTTTTTGAATGTGTATGTGTTTTACACACAAAACAAAAAAGGGGCAAATAAACCAAATCCAAATAAATTGCTTTTTACTTCTGTGTGGACTTCCATTGATTTTTTTCCCCACCTTCTTCTTCTGTGGTCAGCAGCAGCTTTTTATAGAAAAAAAAGTTCCAGGTCTCTGTCATGTGGTTATTGTTCTTACAACAATAGGAAAAGTTTCCTCCCTTGTATTGTGGACCACAGGGGACACCCTCTCCCAAGGGATGTACCCTGTTTCTAAACTTCCTTCCATGGAAAAAGTGTCTTTAATGTATTCTGTGACAGAGGCCTGTACTGTAAGGAGTTAGGGGTGCCGATGGTGACGGTGGGGCTCTACTCAGTGATTGCAATGCTGCTTAGAATAGGGGCTGGTAAGCTGTGGCCTAGAAAATATATCTAGGAAGAATTAGCATCAGTGTTTTCTCTTTTTTCCTCAGGCTGTGCTAACCTAACTGGCTGTAACAGGACTCAGACCCTTTTGGAAAAGAATGAAATGCTTGTTAACTGTCTGATTAGTGTTGAGTGGGACCCAAGGTATGTATTTTGCCCACCTTAGGATGATGAGCAGCCACAAACAGGTTACTGGTGTAAAGTCCCTGGATGCTTTGATGGATGGATGCTGTACTGCTTTCTGATTTTCTTCTGACTCTAATTAGTTATAGAGGGGATTGACTCTTGATGCTCAGTGGTCAGCAAGTAATTTAGCATCTACAGTGGGCACTGCAAACAAGAAGTCACCTTGAAGTATGCAGTTCTTATATTAAAAAATCACATAGATTTGTATTCTCTACAATATATCTGTGCTGGTTTTAGTATAAAAGTATTTAAATTGCTTTACTTTTGAATACAATTGACGTTGTAAGAAAACATGTTTATCTTGGGCCTTCATTTGTCCCAGCCCTCCCGAAATATGCATAGCAGTTCCATAACCTAGCTGGAGAAGCCAGGGATAGGGTAGGCATCAAGCCTGCTGGTGCTGAGAACCACCCCTCCATGCTTTCCTACCGGCTCTGCCGAAACACCAGATGCCCAGTCATTCCCTATTCCATGTCCCCAAATGCCAGGCCCTCCTGCACCCCCCAACAGGACTGGTTCCCTCACCAGAAGGCCTTTTTCTGTGGTTCCTGGCTGATGCCTTCTCCTTTCAGTCTCCCCTCACATCTTAAAGAGATGCTTTTCTTCTTGTGTTCAGCTTTCTACTTCTGTTGTTAGTGTTCGTTCCCTAGCCTGTTTCCTCCCCCATATTCTGAGTTCTGGGAATAGAGTGAATCCATGTTTCTTTTCCTTTTAAATTAAATTTTAATTTGTATAAAAGTTTCACATATATATATACACACACACACATGCACACGGAGAGTTTTTTGTTTGTTTTGAGACAGAGTCTCCCTCTGTTGCTTAGGTGGGAGTGCAGTGGCATGATCTCAGCTCACTGCAATCTCAGCCTCCTGAGTACCTGGGACTACAGGCACCCACCACCAGACCCACCTAATTTT